TGTAAATAAGTAGAGTGAACTTTTAGATTTTACAGTAAACATCTGAATTTCTGGTTCTATTTTTTGTTCAGAGGTGTGTCTTCATAAAACATACATAGGTGAAGTAAATTTATTTGTTGTCATTTATGTTCAATTGAGCTGAGTTGAGCTGAGTCAAGAAAGACATCACAGCACTCGGGGCATTCACATATGCGCTCCGTCCCCATCTCTAGCAGCCAGCGCAGAGTTGCAATACTAATGGTATAGGACACAGTCTGATTATGTTCTTCTTGCCTTTCCTCTGAGCGTAGTGTACGGGCCAGGCCCTCTTGTCACACCCAAGTGTATCATTCTCTCCAGGCTATGACAATCTATTTTCTCTTCTGACTTCGTTACTTGTTTCTAACGAGCCTTGACCACATCTGCCTTGTCATGTATCATTCTCTCCAGGCTATGACAATCTATTTTCTCTTCTGACTTCGTTACTTGTTTCTAGCGAGCCTTGACCACATCTGCCTTGTCATGTATCATTCTCTCCAGGCTATGACAATCTATTTTCTCTTCTGACTTCGTTACTTGTTTCTAGCGAGCCTTGACCACATCTGCCTTGTCATGTATCATTCTCTCCAGGCTATGATAATCTATTTTCTCTTCTGACTTCGTTACTTGTTTCTAACGAGCCTTGACCACATCTGCCTTGTCATGTATCATTCTCTCCAGGCTATGACAATCTATTTTCTCTTCTGACTTCAATACTTGTTTCTAACGAGCCTTGACCACATCTGCCTTGTCATGTATCATTCTCTCCAGGCTATGACAATCTATTTTCTCTTCTGACTTCGTTACTTGTTTCTAGCGAGCCTTGACCACATCTGCCTTGTCATGTATCATTCTCTCCAGGCTATGACAATCTATTTTCTCTTCTGACTTCGTTACTTGTTTCTAGCGAGCCTTGACCACATCTGCCTTGTCATGTATCATTCTCTCCAGGCTATGATAATCTATTTTCTCTTCTGACTTCGTTACTTGTTTCTAACGAGCCTTGACCACATCTGCCTTGTCATGTATCATTCTCTCCAGGCTATGACAATCTATTTTCTCTTCTGACTTCGTTACTTGTTTCTAGCGAGCCTTGACCACATCTGCCTTGTCACCCAGTGATGCAGAACCAGCCAGTCTGCCTTGTTCAATTGTAAACACGTCCCCAACATGCAACAGATTGTATTCCCCTTCGGTCACCATTAGACCACAGGGTGTATCTTAACTGTACAGCAAATTGTATTATGGTCAAAATATTTGGATATGAAGATGCATTTGTTGATGATATTCAACCACGCATCAAAAAATGGTTTTAATCATTCCGAATCAGACAATCCCCAAAAAATTTAAAATTGTTACTTGATGAACAAATTGCAATCCATTTCGGTGCCAGTACTCGTCGTCTTCCTCTCAGAGCACATGTTCAACATACTTTTTCCAGAAATGAATGTCTATTGTTGAGAGGGACTCACGTGTCAGAACTTCAACATCACACATTTTAAATGTACTGTAATTTTTTAGCATTAACCCAGGATTAATCCAAATATACAATATCATAGCCTTGCCTCTGTCGCTCACGGATCTGCCTCAAGTATTCGCTTCAACTAGCTTCCACCTAGTTTTCATAAAAAGTTAACCAGGTGGCTCTTACAATTTCTCACAGACTACTTTTTGAAATGTCAATACTGTTAAGTGATTTCAATGTTAATTTCAGTTTTCGGAGAGCAACAAGTTGATCTGTCTCTAACATTTTAAAAATCTGACGTCTAATGACGTCTACATCAAAGTTGTCAACTTTCCTTTTCCCTCCTTGTTTGTGTCCTGTCTAATCCAATGGTTAAATGATGCTCTTTCCAGACCAAGCATTAATTGTGTTTGTTTCTCTGGGTCATGAATATCACAATATCAATGAGCCATCTTAGATCCCCTGAGGAAGTGCAGGCACAGTCAAACGGTAACCTTTTGCATAGTTATAAATTTGCATCTAAAATTATTTTTGAAGCTGACGCCCATGTCAGTTTTTTTAAGCTAGCCATATGACACAATAATTCAACACTAATCTGTGGATGTGCCTTTGACTAAACAACTTTGACCCATGTCTTATTTTGGCTTCTGGTCACTAACGGTACCACTTTGCACGAGAATATCATGAAATTGCGTAGGTTTTCTTTGACACCCTGTTAAACCAGTTGTGTGCATTATTTCCTGAAATTATTGAAAGTAAACCTTCCAAAAGTCTACAAAGCCGGTTTCATGATAAAAATATATATAGTAAAGAAGAAAAAAAACTACACATGAGGTTCTTTAGTGAAAAAAATGTTTCCTTAACGTCATGGACATTCTGCGGCTGCATGCACACAATCATGGCGATCTAAGAGGCAGTTTGTGAGAAAATGGCTTGCATGTGTGTTTATCTATTGTTGAACTATACATCTATAGTTCAGTCACATCAGAGACACTGGTGCAGGGTTGAACAGCTACACCAGTTCATCTTTACAGAAGAGAATCAATATGAGAAGACTAGGTAATATTTCGAATAGGAATTCATTTTTGGAGAAGAGATTTAAATTTTATCTTTTGAAATACAGAGTAATAGGGTGTGTTTTAAATACCAATTCTTTTTAGATAAGAAAACTAAAGGAGTCTAGAGATACAGAGGAACAGGTTGTGTTTCAGATACTAATTCCTTTTTAGAGAAAAAAGTTAAAGGAGTCTAGATATACACAGGAACAGGTTGTGTTTTAGATACCAATTCCTTTTTAGAGAAAAAAGTTAAAGGAGTCTAAGATATACACAGGAACAGGTTGTGTTTCAGATACTAATTCATTTTTAGAGAAGAGAATTAAAGGAGTCTATAGATACACAGGAACAGGTTGTGTTTCAGATACCAATTCATTTTTAGAGAAGAAAATTAAAGGAGTAGAGATACAGAGGAACAGGCTGTGTTTCAGAAACCAATTCATTTTTAGAGAAGAAAATTAAAGAAGTCCAGAAATACGCAGGAACAGGTTGTGTTTCAGATACCAATTCATTTTTAAAGAAGAAAAGGAGTCTAGAGATACAGAGGAATCAGGTGTGTTTCAGACACCAATTTATTTTTATTAGAGAAGAAAATCAAATAAATCTGGAAATTTTGAGGAATAGGTTGTGTTTCATTAGAACAGACAGAGATTCTGGAGAGGCTGGAAATAAAGAGTTATTGAAATCTGAAGGCAAGACACCAAGGTGAAGACACTGATACAAGAAGGAGGACAATATCACTAGATGGATGAACAGCAGTCTGAAAAAAGTGTACAACCAAAACAAGAGACAGAGCATGTTAGAGATCCATTGCAGACAACCTTTCAGAGATGGCAACTGACTGACTGATTGACTCTGAAATTCTGGGATGGAAAGTGGGCAAGGAAGTAGACCATTCACCTTAGCCTTTTAAGTTGCTTACAGCTGGTCAACAAAGCAGCAGCAGCAGAAAAAGAAGAAGAAGGAGGAGGAGAAGAAGAAGAAGGAGAATGAACGAACAAACAAACTTTGTTTTTAAGGGGTTACAAATTGTCAGGCCCACCTGACATTCGGCTCTTCTTAGAACTCATCTTACAAAGCGCCATTGCCTGTTATTAATAATGCATGTTATGTTTATTTAAATGGAATAATGTACACACACCTCACGTATACACAATCACAGACACACAAATGTAAACATACACTTACATGCTCATACATATTCATATACAGACATACACACTTCACATATACACAATCACAGACACACAAATGTACACATAAACTTACATGCTCATATATATTCATATACAAACATACACACTTGCATACATACACCCACATACTTACACACATGCATACATACATACACCCACAGCTACATATGCACACACCAACATGCATACATACATAAATACACACACATACTTACACAGCTACATTTACATACCCCAACATGCATACATATGTACACACACATAACACACCTTTAAATACCTACATACATACACACACAGCACATACATACATACATACACACACACATACACACATTCATACATACACTAACATACTTACAAAACTACATTTACATACATACATACATACATACATACATACACTAACATACTTACAAAACTACATTTACATATATACATCCACATACACACCCACAACCACACTCACATACAATCACACATACACATACATATATACATGCACACATACATACATACACACATACAAACACACACATGCAAGCACACATAAACATACATACATACACACACACATACACAAGGAGATATCACTGGATATCGCCTATGCAAAAGTAGATCAATGAAGGCCAAATTTATTTCTCTATTAAAGTGTTAGCATTGCGCAAAATGACAAAATCACAAATAAAATGTGGTTTTTGGTTTGGTTTAGAAGGACCATCTTCAATGCACAGGAATTCATTCACCAGTGCTCCAACTCTGCAGCACTAGACTCTAAAATGTATATGCCAAAACCATACATCATGCAAATAATTTTGTGATAGGCGATTTTTAATTTTAATTTTTAGATAATTTTTTTTTTTTTTTTTACATCTAGGGCTACCATTACGGCTGTTTATTATTTCCAATTTATCAGAGATCTTAAATTTTGCCTTCTTAATTTACCACACAAATATTCTTTCTAAGAAAGTGCTACTTTTGAAAAGGAATTGTTACACCTTCAAAATGATCTTCATCATGACCATTATCTGCAGATGCAACAGCATTCTCAATCTGTGCTGAATCACGCAAAATAGGAACAACAGTAGAACCAGAAAGGGCATTCATACAAACAAATGAATTGCCAAAGCAATATGCATCACCAGCAGTAGAACTGTTCATTTCATTCAACACAGCTCTAGATTCTGAATTATAATACAATGATGTCAAAACTGACCAAAAATTGAAATAACAAAACAAAGCATAGGACTCTGATGGTACAATTGCATGAGCTACACCACAAGATGGCGCTCCTTCTTGCTCCTGTTCTGCTTCAATAATTCGTGTCTGAGCTCGCCCATGACCATTTCTGGAGGGAAGTAGATTTTTGCGAGCTCCAATATTAATCTCTTCTTCACGTGAAGACGGATGACTTTGGGAATCAGGCCTCCGCTGAACATCTCCATGAGGATGAATGCACCTATCATTCCCTGCTGAAACAAAAGCACAATGTTATACTAAGCTAAAGGGAGGCATAGGACAATTAGCCTATGGTGATGGGCCATTGTGACTAGAAAGATAAGAAAAAGTCTTACACAATAAGTGATTTAATCCCTTCATTTTCATTGTCTAAAAACAAATACAGAAAATCCATGACAGTGGGCTACAACCTGGTATTAGTGAGATGACAAAAGAATAAGAAGAAGACTGTCAACGGTCTTAAGGGTTCCCCAGGGTCTTATGTGTAACACTGTAAAATATACTTAAAAGACATATACAAGGGGAAGTTAATAAGCTGCAACTATGTCGCACCTGTTTACAGCACAGCTGCAGTATCTCGCCTGACTTCATCAGGCGTTTTGTTCACCGTGTTAGCCTTCCCATAAAGTTTTGTGGGACATGACTTAGCCATATGTGTGTGGTGTCCTCTTAATCCCCTTATATACAGGTGCTGCTCCTGGAGAACCCATACAGAGCAACCGTGTGTAGACTGATACACAGCTGACACACAACAGTCTGCTCTTGAGCTCACAGAATATGCAAATAAGCTAGATCAAATGGATGTGCTTGCGAAACTCAGGTTCTAAACCCAGAATAAAGTCCAGAAGTGGATGAACAACCAGCACTTTCGGCTGGACTCTACAGCAAATGAATTCTAAGAAGAAGGAGAAGAAAAGTGGAATACATAGAGGGAGCTACATGCACTGGCAAAGAATAGGATGGCATGATGCAAGTTGGTTGATGATCTATGCTCTACTAGGCAATAACAGTCACATTTGAATTCACACACGGCACTAAATTAACCCACTGAGCAACACCCCATGTTTTTTGTTGGTATCTACATATATTGTATACTTTTCTTAGCTAATATACTCTGTTCAAAACTCGCCTCATTATGTAATAATTTTAATGAATTCAGACCCAACCAGTTAAAGTAACAACTTATGAGGCCAGAATAAAGTAAAATAACACCTGCCCCTGGGACTCAAGGGGTTCAGTTAGCATTATTAGACCTGCAAGTATCTGTATACAGATATGTGTGTATGCGTGCGTGCATGCACACACACACATAAGCTTACACACAGGTATTACATTTAACATTAACATAAGTTCATTAACTACCATAAGAGACTATTGTTCTTTCATCGTCTCATTGATACCAGGTTGTAGCCATGTCCTAGTGTTCTGCTTTTGTCTTGCCAAGCTTCTCTGGTCTCTTGGGTGATTGATTTTTGCATCTTTTTACAGATTTCAGCTACACCGTTTATCCATTTCTTTCTTGATCTTTCCCTCGTCTTCCTCCCAGATGCTCTGTTGTAAATTGTCTCACTTAAATAGTTTGGTCTAGCTGCATTCACACTAGATGGACGAACCATTTCATTCTTTGTCAGTCAATATAATTCAGGCATAGTCTTATTCCAACTTTCTCACTAATGTTGGTATTCATAACCCTGCCCTTCTTGTGTTGTTGCTGTCAGCTTCAAGTACTTGAAAGCTGCACACCTCTTTTCCATATCTAACAAATTACAGCTGAAATGTATATTTTCTAAGAAATATAGCTAATTTTAATTTTTTTTTCAGCTGGACTATTTAACTGGCAGCCTGTGGAGGCCAAGCAATTGGCCCGTGGAGGCCAAGCAAGCGGCCCGTGGAGGCCAAGCAAGCGGCTCATGGAGGCCAAGCAAGTGGCTCATGAAGGCCAAGCAAGCGGCCCGTGGAGTCCAAGCAAGCGGCCCGTGGAGGCCAAGCAAGCAGCCCGTGGAGTCCAAGCAAGCGGCCCGTGGAGTCCAAGCAAGCGGCCCGTGGAGTCCAAGCAAGCGGCCCGTGGAGTCCAAGCAAGCGGCCCGTGGAGTCCAAGCAAGCGGCCCGTGGAGACCAAGCAAGCGGCTCGTGGAGGCCAAGCAAGTGGCTCGTGGAGGCCAAGCAAGTGGCCTGTGGAGACCAAGAAAGTGGCCCGTGGATAATTGTCAGGTGTATTGTATCAATGATCTTCTTATGCTGGGGCTTGGGCCTCTGACAATCCATATGAAGATTTTTAAAATGTCTCAGGGTGAGATGAACAGTCTGCTCTAAAGCAATGTTTTTTTAAATTTCAATCTGATAGTTAATGATCTATTATGGACAAGCACAATAATAATAATAACAGCAAAAAACAGGAAAAAGAGTGAAAAACAGTGCTCATGGCAATAGCAAAAAATTCTTTCCAAAAGGTAAAACATAAACCATGAAAATGAAACCTGGCCCAAAACAGACTGACTGCTTACCAGACGTTCTGTAGATCAGAAGTACATTCCCAATGACAAAAAAAAAATATTAAGCTGAAATTGCCTAAAATTCTTCTCCTTTTGCTGCTCTGTTTTCCCCAATGGAGAATAGGCGCTCAACCAACTCATGCCATGTCATCTGTCCTTTAGTATAGCAGGCAGCTCACACCACATCCTCCCCATCTTTTTACCTCATTCTCTTTTCCATGTATATATATATTTTTTGTCCTGCGAATTCCAGTATATGCGGATTCCAGTATATTCTAGTTATACTCTTATTAGGTTTTCACATTGTGTGTCCTATCCAAAACCAGCATACAAATTCATTAGCGTTGACATATAACATAAAAAAATTAAAATAAAGGGTGTTAACTGTCTCTGCCTAAAGAAAATGTGCTCAGGATAACTACTTCAAAGTTAGACTTTTAGAAAAAGAGGAAAAGCAACTTGCATAATATTACCCTAATAACTACAACAATAATTATAAAAGAACTATTTTTACAGAAGGTAATACCGTCAAATAACAATAAATTTAGAAGAAAATTAAAAACCACCCAAGTCTCATTCAAAATCAAATCAACTTGTTGAAATGCCATAGAACACAACTTTTTCAGGCTCTGGCAGTATTTACAGCTAGACTGCAGTCCTAGATAGCTGATTTCAGCACAGCCTTAATAGCAGCCTTTTATGACAAACTGGATAAAGGGCACTGGGTCTATTCTCCACAAGCCTCAAATTTGTGAGTGTGATGTGTGGAATGCTGTATGTCAGGGCCATTCAACTGGTGGCTCACACAGAGACCTAACATGTAGTGCCCGGATTACCTAGCAGTTGTATTCTTCTTCTTCTTCGCGTTCACCAGCTGAAAACTCTGGCGAAAAGTTCTGGCTGTTCATCTGCTTCCTATTCCAGAACCTGAGCGTTGTATACGCATCGGTTTTACAGATCTGACTCATTTGTATGCAGACAGTTGGTTCAATGCCTCTCAGGCAGATGGACTTCGACTTTGAAGAAGCTCCCAATTAGTCGACTCATGACATCCCTTTGGGTAGGCAGTAGGTCTCTTCTTTTCTTCCCTATAACAGGGCCCTGGAACCCAAAAGGGGACCAATATTGTATTAATGACCTTTCTATGCTGGGAGTCGGGCCTCTGGTCCACAATGATCCTCATTTTCCAATATTTTGATCCCAGAGTAAACTTAGTTAAATGGCTCTGCTGTATGTGGTGTTTCCCAAATCAGGCTTTCCCAGTTACCAAAGCAATGTTTCCCCGATGTGAATTTGAACAAAAAAGACACAAACAATAGACTGCACAATTTATTGCCTGGCATATTTCGCTGTAACTCATCAGGTGCATACTACAGTAACAGTTAATTAAAATGAAGCAAATAGCAGAATCCTAGAAACTGAAACACAAATTCGAGTAGATTTCAAACTGTTTCACCAAGGAACAACAAGGGCAATGACCATTTCTTTTTGCCTACATAGTTCCGGTTTCAATCTGCCAATCGCTGAAGCTTCCGGGTATCGAAGTAATCTACGGTTAGCCAAATTGTAAATAATTCAGAATGCATCATCCCTGTTAATGATGTGCCCGGAATTTAGAATATGGCACGCAATTGCTGATGATGGATTTTGTCGACCAGTCACCTGATTCGTTGTTGTTGAGGTGTTAGTATTCTGCATTGCTTTTACCAACCATAGTGGAATATGTTCAGCAACCCGTTGTTCCAGTCGTCAATCAGTTCTGCCCACATATGCAGCGTTACAGGTGCATTTAAATTGGTATATACAGTTAGATTTGGCGTACGTCGACACTGGTTCTTTTACTGGTGGTTTAGGAATCCTGGTGGTTTTAAATCTCATAACAGGCATGGCTGCGTAAAAGGTTTGACGGACTGCTGTTTTGAGTCGGTCATATATACGTTGCATGATGTCGTCTCCCCGAAACGTTAGATGTATATAGGGTAGTTTTTTTGGCACCGACATTTCTAAGGTAACTGGTTTAGGTGGCCGGCAATGGCACTTAATAAAGCCACCTGAATATCCATTAGAAAGCAGTTTAATCGTTTCAAACTCAGCTTGTAGCGTGTCGATGGAACAAATCCTCCTAGCACGGTGGAATAATGTCCTCACTAGGCCACGTTTGTATTGCAAAGGTGCAAAACTGTTGAAATGGATGCATTGGCCTGTCCAAGTGTCTTTACGATAAACTGACCTTTCAATAGTGCCATCATCTCTACATCTAATTAAAATGTCTAAAAATTAAAATGTTACTGTAGTATGCACCTGATGAGATATGCCAGGCAATAAATTGTGCAGTCTATTGTGTCTTCTTCGTTCAAATTTCCCAGTTACAACAAGGAAGGCAGTTTTTTTTAAAGAAAAATGGTTGCTCAATATCAGTCATGAGTGTCCTGAGGCATCAGCATGAACAAGTGTCTTTGTATCATGATATAGAAAAATATTCAACTCTATTTTAAACATAATTTTAAAAAATTAAAATAAAAAACAACAATAAAACAGAAAATGAATATAATAAGAAACCAGTAGACACAAACAATCAAAATTCGTTGACAAAATGCTAAAGTCACTAAGTACAATTTTGGTAATTTTCAGGGAACGGTTAAGAACGCTGGGCTGCATGCCCAGGTTGTTGATTTGTTTCTGTTGTTTGAGGCAAGAAAAGAATCCTAACCTGCACACTCATAACGACAGCACGAGCCCGCCCCTAAATCCTCAGGCTCAAAGGCCTTCCTGCCTACACCGCAAAAGTGGTGAACACAGACAGTAACGGTAGTTATGGTACTTTCAGGAATGTTATTTATCATTTTACAATATGCTAAAGGCACATATGTGAATTCCTACTCCAGTTAGCTCAAAATGAAGTAATACTTTTAGCGGACTTTGTCAACGATACAAATTTACACAAACCTCCCATGACGTCTTTCACTGGTGATGTCTTACTAGAGAGCAAACAAGATAAAAATCTGCTTATGATTTGCTAAAATTAATTTCAAAGTCCTAATGAATTAGGTCTTTCATGTAAATGTAACTAACTGTCATTTCTCATACCACTTCATTAAATTCAGATACGCAACACTCCAGTTCGAAGGACACATACGCATTTAAAATTTACCTTGGAGAAAGTATCCACGTTCTTGATAAAACCGAAACAGGTTTTGGTCTTTCCAGCAAAGTTTCTGTAAGATCAGAAAAATAGTGTAAAGAACTTCGGAAGAAAAAATATGACAATAATGTAAAAGAAAATATGACATCCTGGGATAATTTCATATTTCTAATTTTCAAATGTCATGTATGACCAACACTACTATAGTGGCCACAGAAACACAATGAACAAGAAAACAGAAAGTTGCACTGAGGTCCCAGAGGCGTGGATATCTTCATCTTAGCGTTAACCAGCTGTAAACTCCGACGGAAAGTTCTGGTCGTTCATTCACTTCTGGATTTTGGTCTTATTCTAGAACTAGAGTTTTGTGTGCACATCCATTTAACAGATCTGGCTTATGTGCATGCAGACTGCTGGCTCCTTGCCTTTCGGGCAGACACACCGACTTCAAAGGAAACACCACTAATGGGTGGCCTTTTACAACTCATTTTACAACATGCTTGTTAGGGTCTATTCTTTTTATCCCTCACAATGGGGCCCTGGAACCTAAATGGGGATATTTAGCACTAGTAGACATTATTTTCTGGTTTGTCTTCTCGAGCTTTTCACTGTTTAATACCATCCTCCCTAGTTTTTTTCCTGTCCTTGCCTACCATTTCAAGATGGTGACAAATTAGAGGGAACTCATGTCCATATTATGAGACTGGGTGAACCACAGAGCTAAACTGGCTGGGGAAAAGAAAAAAAGTCAATATGAAGAATTCAAGCCAGACCCCTAGTATAGTAAGTTGTATTAACTAATAAATCACCATGCGAAAAAGAAGACAGAAAGAAGTGTACATATTTTTTTTTTCCAAACTGAAATGACTTTCACTTTTATACAACTGCTATACATCACACCATTAAGTGATTTATGTAGCAGTGTTTCATCTTGCCTGTTCCCCCCCCCCCCTTTTTGTGTTTTCCCTTAAAGGGTGATAGGTATGTTGAGCTGCGGTTTACAGCTAGGCTGTGGGATTTGGGGCTTTTGGCCTAAAACATCCAATTTCAGAAAACCCTAATTAGTCATTCCCCCCACCACCCTCCCCAAATAAGTGCTGTGGAACCTATACACAACGGATGTCGTCATGCCTGTGACTTAGTACACCCAATTCTAACAAAAGCTTTTTTTCAGTGTTGTCCCTAATCTACCTTCATGATAACAGGTTTGTGTCTAATTTTGTCTGGTTCTGTTATCTTAATGTGTACAGGATGGGTGACGACCAGAAGCATGACTTTTTAGGAAACTGGAACACACAAACCCTTCTACTACTCCAAGGTGGAGACACAGTAAAGAGTGTGCATTAAACTTATATGTTCATTTATCACCCTGAGCTCTTTCAGTCTCAAAGAACGCATCATACATCATAGGTGGCTACCTAGAAGACCAATGTACACAAGATGCACCGATTTTACATCTCCCTTTATTATCTCTTGGGCCTCTGATGCTAAACCCCCTGAAACTGAAAGAGTTAAACCATTTATATGTCACATAGGGCTAATTCCTCAACTTTGTTCAATCATTTCAATATCGTGTATGCAATCCAGTCCAGTGCATCTGGGTTTCTCTCATCAATGACCATTGTAATTTTTCTCGTCATCACATTTCCTATCTTCAAGCACTGACCAGTCCATATATGAGTTGATCCCAGTCATTTCACATATTTTTTGTTGTCTTGATCCCATCAATGTTTTATCAATTTCTTCAGGTGTGGTATCACTGACCACATTTTAAGAATCTCACAATTCTGTTAAGACCAGGTCAAAGAAAAGAAATTCATTAAGCAAAACTTGCCAGTAACTTCAGGCGTTGACAAATATCTAAACCAAGCACTGAGTCAAACACTGAAGAATGCTGCTCTCTTGCATCTGCAAACTTCTCCTCCAACAGCTCCATCGTCAATATTATGAATCCATCAGGTCATCGTGCTCCATTTCTCTATATTTCTGAAATCACATTTAATAAACCCGATAACAATTTTATTCAAAAGGAATAAAACTTACTGTTTAAAATAAAAAAAAACTTAGTGTCTATTACAGTAGTGAGAAAAAGATGCATAAAAAGGTGCCGGTGCTGTGTTCCATTGCACACCACCAGAAAAAGCCCTGCTCACCAGGACTTTTAATGGTACCATTTTAGTCAAGGTCAATTTATGCCGATCTGTGCTGGGGCAGTAGCAGGGCTTGAGTATCAACTTCCCCATGTGGGTGCCACGGCCCTATCTGGAAAGGGCTTAACAAGCATGTCATACAAAGCGATTAATCAGGAAAGTGTCCTTCGAAGTCAGAGTGCATCTGTCTAACAGGTGAGGAACCAACACTTCTCATACAGATGAGCCAGACCTGTAAAACAGATGTGCACTCAAAACTCAAGTCCTGGAACAAGACCAAAGTCCAGACATGGATGAACAACCAGAGCTTTCAGCTGTTCACAGCTAGTGAATGGTAAGAAGAAGAGTGCCAAGTGATCACTGAAAGTAGATCTAGCACCATATACCAGAAGTGCCACTGGCACGAAAAGGTTCCTTTATTTTACTTTACATGTTACATTCCAAATCTACTGACCCTTTTGTTTATGTAACCTACCTACTAAAGTCTCCTGTTCAACAACTTAGAGCTTGCTCCTTCTATATAAGTTCCTAATTCTTTTCAGAAATCAACTTTCCAAAACACAAGTGTTGGCACTTTTTCAGGCTTTATTCATCAGAAATCAACTTTCCAAAACACAAGTGTTGGCACTTTTTCAGGCTTTATTCATCAGAAATCAACTTTCCAAAACACAAGTGTTGGCACTTTTTCAGGCTTTATTCATCAGAAATCAACTTTCCAAAACACAAGTGTTGGCACTTTTTTCAGGCTTTATTCATCAGAAATCAACTTTCCAAAACACAAGTGTTGGCACTTTTTCAGGCTTTATTCATCAGAAATCAACTTTCCAAAACACAAGTGTTGGCACTTTTTCAGGCTGTATTCATCAGAAACCAACTTTCCAAAACACAAGTGTTGGCACTTTTTCAGGCTGCATTCATCAGAAATCAACTTTCCAAAACACAAGTGTTGGCACTTTTTCAGGCTGTATTCATCAGAAATCAACTTTCCAAAACACAAGTGTTGGCACTTTTTCAGGCTGTATTCATCAGAAATCAACTTTCCAAAACACAAGTGTAGGCACTTTTTCAGGCTGTATTCATCAGAAATCAACTTTCCAAAACACAAGTGTTGGCACTTTTTCAGGCTGTATTCATCAGAAATCAACTTTCCAAAACACAAGTGTTGGCACTTTTTCAGGCTGTATTCATCAGAAATCAACTTTCCAAAACACAAGTGTTGGCACTTTTTCAGGCTTTATTCATCAAAATCAACTTTCCAAAACACAAGTGTTGGCACTTTTTCAGGCTGTATTCATCAGAAATCAACTTTCCAAAACACAAGTGTTGGCACTTTTTCAGGCTGTATTCATCAGAAATCAACTTTCCAAAACACAAGTGTTGGCACTTTTTCAGGCTGTATTCATCAGAAATCAACTTTCCAAAACACAAGTGTTGGCACTTTTTCAGGCTGTATTCACCAGAAATCAACTTTCCAAAACACAAGTGTTGGCACTTTTTCAGGCTGTATTCATCAGAAATCAACTTTCCAAAACACAAGTGTTGGCACTTTTTCAGGCTTTATTCATCAGAAATCAACTTTCCAAATCACAAGTGTTGGCACTTTTTCAGGCTGTATTCATCAGAAATCAACTTTCCAAAACACAAGTGTTGGCACTTTTTCAGGCTGTATTCATCAGAAATCAACTTTCCAAAACCAAGTGTTTGGCACTTTTTCAGGCTGTATTCATCAGAAATCAACTTTCCAAAACACAAGTGTTGGCACTTTTTTCAGGCTTTATTCATCAGAAATCAACTTTCCAAAACACAAGTGGTTGGCACTTTTTCAGGGTTTCTTTATTCATCAGAAATCAACTTTCAAAACACAAGTGTTTGGGAACTTTTTCAGGCTTTATTCATCAGAAATCAACTTTCCAAAACACAAGTGTTGGGCACTTTTTCAGGCGCTTTATTCATCAGAAAATTTAGCCAAATTGTTCAATTTGCTCACATTTGTCCAAGGAATTTAAAAAAAAAAAACATTGCAAAATATGCTAATTCAAAGTAATTTGAATAAATGTTGAGATGTCAGTGTGGATTCATAATATTCATTAAAGATCCTACAAGAATATATAGTTTTGTATACTATATCTTAATTAAATGCTTTATTTTTTTCATAACTGCTATTGTGTTGTGTGTGTAACCTACCCCAAAAGATTTTAAAAAAAGCCTGCACAAATTTTTATTAGGGACCATAGTTAATTTATGTATTTTGCTTGTTGACACAAAAAAGTGTTTGATTTTAGGGTTTAAGGCCCATCCCCCTGCCCTCCCAGGGACCTTCTTCAAAAATTTACAACAAGAAGGGGTTATTTTAAAATTTTTATGGGGTTTTAAATTTAGCCTTTCCTACAATTACTAATAAACAAAAATTTTTAATTTTTTTACATTCTTATAAGGGATCTCAAAATGCCACTTGGAAAAAAAGACCTTTAAATTAAACTCCAAAAAAAAATTTTTAATTTTTCCTAACTTTCAAAACCCAACAAAATTTGAGGGTTTTTTATCATAATAGGTTTAAGAATTAAAAATTTTTGAACACTGCTCACACCAGTTACTGATTTCTACAATACCTTTTCGAGACGGTAGACAAACATGCCCCCCAAAAGGTTAAACCATTACCGTTTTTCTACTACTTCACATTTGG